TATATATATATATATATATATATATATACTATAATTACTATACTACTATATATATAATATACTATACTACTATACTACTATACTAATATTATATATTATAGTATATATATATATATATATATATATATATATATATATATATAATACTATACTATAATACTAATACTAATACTAATACTATACTACTATACTACTATACTATACTATATATATATACTATAATATATAATATTAGTATAGTAGTATAGTAGTATAATATAGTATATTGTATATATAGTATATATATATATAGTATATTATAGTATAGTAGTATAGTAGTAGTAGTATAATATAGTATATCATATATTATAATATATAATTATAGTATAGTAGTATATTATGTATTATAATTGAAGAAATAACTCGTAAATGTGTCTTTACGATGTGAATAATCGTAAATTAAAGAATCAGTGACCCGTCATTTTGACGTGTTCCGTAAATCTAGCGTTAACACTGGTCATCTCATCCGAATTAAAACATGTTCATTTCGTTCGAATCTTTTTATTTCGTACGCACGCGATTTCGCGTACTCGCTCGTACCATGTTTGCGTTTTCACCGATTTTTTAAGCACCAATTTTTAATTGCTTCTGGGGAATCTGTTTTGATACGTGGCGCGGTTACTTTTGATGGCGATTTATTCGTTTTCCCGTTGCAGACGAAGGCGCATGCGTTTGCAAATGTGCGTTTGTGAAGGCACAAAGTTGTAACCAGACTGTGGATTTTATGCATTTCTGACGAAACTCGGTTATATTATATTTCAACCTATTAAGAAAGGAGATCAATTTTTACATTTGATCCCTGTTCGACGCAATTCAGGTAGAACATTTTTATGGTCGCATCAGACTTTTGATGTGTTCGATGAAATTGCCGCATGATCGAATTTTCATATGCATTTCTGTAGAATGAATGCAGAGATCATTTTACCTGGACTAGTTAAATTATCGTCAGTGCAAGCTGTTTGCAGTTAACAAGTTAACACTTGTTGGCATAAGTTTTTCGATTTTCTCGCCAGCATAATCGATGCACAAGTCCTCAGATTTGTCGCACTTCTAATCAAATTAAGTGGATAAAGCGCGACAAAATTGTTTCATCTTGCCCGCAGAAACGTCTTAACATCGAGTACAGAAATTATTAAAAAATGAAAGCGTTTAGTACATTCTTCTCTTGCAGTAGCCAAGAAATCGTACAACTTAAACTCGTTATCGAGTTTAATTATATCGTTAAATTCGTTACGTATCGAGAACCGAATCGAAATCGCCGAATCATCGTCGCAAAGCAGTGTCTTTTTCGCGCAACAGTCTCGGAGCTATCTCCACCACATTCGAACGAATCTAGGTTTCAAGGGATCGACGAGCAATGGCGACAGACCCTTGCCAGATAGATCGCAACTGATCGCAACAACGTCTCCCTCGAAACTCGTGCGTTGCGACCGATTGACGGCGCTTATCCGTCGAGTCGACTCTGCTGCGGCAGACAAGAAAAGGCAGAAAAGAAAGGAATTGGCTTCGCCTAAGAAAGACTCACCGGATCAGCTCGAAGATCTCAGGTTTCTCGAGCTCCCTCTGCTTCATTCGTTCCTTCATGGCTGTGATTATGCTGTTCGCCTTATCCTCGGCCCCGTGTTTCGAACTCTTCTCAGCCGCCCCTGGGAAAATGAAACAAGCGACCGGTGAAATTTCGCGCAACGGCCAGCGAGCGCAACGTACATCAACGGTGCGCGACGAGGAACTTTTTCACCGGGAACGAGCCGTTTAGTTTCGTAGCGAGATCTATGAAACGGCCGACGACCCGCCGCGCCATTAGCGCGGCGAAACGTTTAAACGGACGTTCAAGATTATTTGCAGTTTCCTTTTAACCAGTTAACTCTGCCGCCTCCACTTCAGAGCGCGCATCTACAGGGTGTCCCGAAAATGTCTCGCAATTTGGAAATGGGAGGTTCCTGAGGTCATTTGAAGCAACTTCTTCCTTTGCGAAAATTTTCTCCGGGGCTTCGTTTACGAGTTATTAACAAAAAACACTGACCAATAAGAGGCGAGCTCGGCTGGCGCGCGGCGGCCCAGCCAACGAGTGCACGGAGCCCAGTTCCGGTCATTGGCTCGGCCGTCTCGCGCCAAATGATCTCGCCTCTGATTGGTCACTGTTCTTCGTTAATAACTCGTAAACGAAGCCGCGGATTGCATTTTCGCTAAGGAAAAAGTTGCTTCAAATGACCTCAGGAATCTCCTACTTTTGGATTGCGAGACATTTTTGGGACACCCTGTATATGTGTCGCGAGAATCAAGCGACGACGAGTATACTCGTCGAACACAATGTAAGTGTCGCTGTGACGGTTTTATTTGATAAAATTAATAATTTTATTACTAATATTTACTCATTCGCTCGACGTTAAGATATACCATATACATAATACACGAAAAACCCAGGGATAATCGAATACTTATAAAAGTTAAAAATTCAAATTGCTGCTGTAGAGAGAGTGGTATTTAGCAAAGCAAGGAACAATATATAATGGCGCTTTGAGCGTCGAACACCAATACCGTGATTCTTTTCTAATTTTATTTTTATAACAATGTAAACAACTTCGTGCAGGATTGGCCTGAAAATATTCTGAACATCTTGAAATTCGAGAATATGTTTTCGTTTTCCTTAAAATTACAATTTAAATAGCCAATGGTCGCTGCTTCTTACGCGCGACGAGTATACTCGTCGTGTCACAAAATATTGCCACTTCTCCATGACGAGTGTACTCGTCAAACACAGCTAACTGGTTAATTGTGACTACGGCGCTTCTTCGCTCGTGGCCCGCTCGGCGATTGGGGCCGAGCGAGATCGGCGGCGAAGTCACGTAATTTTCGGAGCTTTCGTTCGATCCCGTGATATCCGGTTTTGTCGAGGATGATACGAAACAACGAGCTGCCGGCTTTGAAAAATTCGAGGGCATTTCTCTCGGCCCGGCTGCCGGCTGACCTGCGGCCGCGAGTTACGGGTGTAAGAAGATTAATTAAATTAATTAAGGCCGTGGGGGATTCACTTTGGACCGTAATTCCAGCGACTGGAAATAGAAATGGTAATCACCGGCACAGAGAGACCGTGTTCCTAAATTACGCGATTCATTTTGTACGTTAAGCAGTTTGCCCGTGATTCGGCGACGTGAAAAAAGATGCGTCGCCGTTGGCAGTGCACTTCTTGTAACTGCTGGTATTTAGAGGCGAGAAATTGGGACACACTTTTTTCATCCGGCAGCTACGTTTCGAGAACAGAAAAATGGAATTTAGTTTCTGTTCAAGAGAGATTAATATGAGGCAGTTTTTATAGATTTAACCTTTTATTAAATGCAAATATTTATTATTATCTCCGGAAAGTACATTTATTCTATAATAGAATATTAAAAATTATGATTCGATTTTTCACAGTCGCCAACCAAGGAGAATGGGAATCTATTATCTTTTTAGCTAAAAAATGGTTTAATTTAGATGAACCCGATGCCTGCAAGTATCACTGGCGCGATATGAGAAATGATACAAAATGTGTCGAGTGGTTTCATATAAATTTTGCTGTTTGTGCTTTCTGCGAAATTGTATTTTTATGTCTTTCGTTAAAAAAACGTCATATTTTTGTTTTCATTGCTACGAGATAATTATAAGAAATCGTTAAAAACCAGAGCTGCTTTACGATAATTTCGAGCAGTGTGGCTTGTATATTGTGCGAACATTCTAATATTTTTAATAATATATACAGGTAAGTAAGTCACAAATTAGTCCCCACGATTTTTCAGTCCCTTCCGGTGGTCTGACAAAATCATGTTTCCTATCAAGGTTAATTAGTATTTAACCGACAAGAAATTGCAGTTGTTTAAATTTAAAAACCAATTGATTTTCGATGAAAAAACAGGGTCACCGTTATATTTTTAAACGAAACCGGGTAATTTTAACTTCGTAGCATTGTAGGCGACGTCGAGACGAATTCAACGACCTGCTACACGATGATTTTTAGATGACATTGAAGGAAAAATTGCCATGAATCGAAACAATTTCTTGTCGGTTAAATACTAATTAACTTCGATCGGACACATTTTTTTGTCAGACCATCGCAAGGGGCTGAAAAATCTTGGGCACTAGGGGACTGATTTGTGAATCACCCTGTATATAATCGCCAAGTTGATACGCGATATTCGATTAACACGCCATCAAATTTAAAGTTAATCGAGCGAGCGTTGTTTATTTTGTCTAAATTCAGAGAAATCGCAACTGAATTTCCGTAAATTAATTATCGCTCAAGCGAATAGCAAACTCGCGCGAAATTACCGACTCGATGGATTCAACACTTCGATGTGTTAATTTACTTTTCGAGGCGACTGTATTCAGCAGCATGATACATTTGAAAGCTTCGCGACGACCCCGACTCGATATTCTAAGGGAAAGGGCGAAGCCGATGAAAACCTATAGTCGCGGAGCGTCCGTAAACAAAGGGTTCGGAAGGACCGCGACGAACGAGTTCCGTTAACCGTATAAGGTGATTAAACTCTTTAACCACTTCCGCTCGCGACGCCAGAGAGATACCATTTACCGGCGGCGTTTCTCCTCAAACCCGCCGCTTTTTCATCCGTCGCGCTGAATGGACGGTGCTTTCCGTTTTCCGAAAGACGCACTCTTTAAACTTTTCACGCGGCTCGCGTGCCGGCTCGCGTCTTTCGCCGAGCCGGAACATTCGAGGACCTTTAATTTTCCGGTGCAACCGTCGGGCTCGGCGCCGCGACGCGGCCCCGTATTCGCGAGTTTCGCTCGCGAAAATGTTGCCGTCGCTTAACCAGACCGGAAATTACACGTACCGATCGCTCGCTCGCTCGCTCGCTCGCCGGGAGACAAACTTCGAGCAAACGGTTCGGCGAAAAATTGATTTTCCCCGAGCGGAAAATAGACACGCGCCTTGGTTCACGGTGACTTAGCTCGAGAAACAAAGACGACCTTTTCTCCGGAGGGTTGCGTCGGGGGTGGAAAGCAGGCCGGCACGATGAAGCGTGCGAAAAAAATGCTTGTTCGACGTAAGTCAGGCGAAAACCGTGTCCCCGTTCGAGGCGCGCTCGTCGACGGGCCCCTTTAATTTTCATGAAACGGCGGCGTCGATCCTATTGGCTATCGGACCTCGACGGTGGATAGGTGGGTCTTTCAACGATCAATGAGGAACGGAATTCGTCGAGGAGGGACGATTGCGGTCGATCGCGAAAGCGGAAATGTTCAACGAAAGGAGGCTTCCGATGTTTATGAAAGAACCATGCACGTCACTAGTCCAACGTTGCAGAGCAGTTTCGAAGAGACTCCAAATTTTTCTTGGCGATTTCGTGAACTGTTAGACAGTAATTTCTCCCGGAAATGCCGAATTTCGGGTTGCTGTGAATTTCCTTGTGCTAGTCCTGCGCCTATGTGATTTATTGCTACGTCGATGATAAGGTTCGACGGAAGACAACAGAAAATGGTCTGTTTAGCCTCCGAACTGCCTTAGAATCGTGGCAAAAAGTTAGAAATGAAAAAGTTAAGTCATCGTTTTTATTCTAGCACCTTTTTTGCCGGCTGCCCCGAGTTTCTGTAAAAACCAGGAGAAATGGGAATTCTGGGAGAATTTACTGTACTCGATTTGACACTAAATCTACCAAGCGCTAAAACTAAAAAACTTGTGTGTGTGTGTGTGTATGTGTGTGTGTGTGTGTGTGTGTGTGTGTGTGTGTGTGTCGCTTTATAAGAAATATAAGACTGTACTTAATTAGATATTTTGCAGTTTTTATTATAACGTGTGCTCGAAATACAAAATTTATTCGATTAATTTCCTATAAAAAGGAAAAATTATTTATTAATTCAATAATTTTAAAATGAGAACTACGAAATCGGTTGTTTTGATTGACACGATAAGTTTAGTGTAAAATATATAGTTTCCAAAAATATTTGGATAAAAATACGACAATAAACCAAGGCTCATTTTACAGTCTCTATTTTCAGAGGCCATCGTTGATTATCTTTTAAGATGTTTTTGAGATGAGAATACGTGAAAAATCGATGACACGACATTTTTCAAAAATGATACACACTGAAGCAACTCTAAAAACATCGGAAAATTCTTATCACGATTGAATTTACCATAGATTTAAGATCGAAGCTTTCTTTTTACGACGATATCGTAACAGGAGATACAGGATTTTATTCGATCGTTCTGTTTGGCTCGGAGGAAGGCCAATTTTGCAGTGGTATAAGGTACATCGTATGGATTTTACGCGATCAAACGAAAAGATGCGAAAGTTATTGCAGGCATTGCCTAGGAAACTAGATTTGCCTAACATCTCAACAAAATTCAACTGGGTTCGTCCAATTTTTAAAAAGTTATTCCAAATCAGAATAAAGATTTTGACACTTCAAAGCAAGCAGTACTAAAGAAGATCTAAACAAATAAAAATGAGAACGTAAATCTTGCGGATATGCAATTAAAAAAGAAATCGTAACAAACTCCAAACTCTGAGAAAATCCAAAATTTGGTTAAGTACCTCGTAGTTCGACGTTATACATAATTCGACTGCGGATTTTATGACAAAAAATGAGTAGCTGTAATTTCACGCAGTAGCAAAATTTGGATAATTGAAGACTACGAATATGTTATTCC